AAAAAAAAAATCACGGCGGAGCCAACCCCTTTCTACCGTTTTGGGTCTGTCCTCCCCGTCGGCCCTCTAAGGCCCAAGACTACAACGGGCTTACATACGCGATCGTTCGTAGTCCAACACGCAAAGTTCTGTAACGGACTTACGTACGCGATCGTTCCCAGAACTATCATCTACTCTACAATCTCAAACAATACTTTTTACTCTTAACATCTTTTAATTACCAAGCAATTTCCACACATCAAACAATCCTTATACTAACAATCAGCAAGCATCAAACATTCCTAAAATTAGCATAGATAACCACAACAAACATTCCATTCCTAGACTAACATGTAAGAACACCTAATGCTAACTAATACTAAAGTAGCGTGGATCCCACCCTCACCTTAGCCTTTCGGATGATCAAAAAAATGAAGAAGTGAACCTAGAAGGACGTGACTCTGCGTTTTGGGCGGTTGGCGTCTGGAAAATAACGATTCAAGTCAAAAATTGCGTTTCTGGATTTTGACAGAATAAGTGTTTCTTGACCAGAAAGAAACGTCAATAGCTCACCGGATTTAGATCGGACTGGGAAACCAAAACTTGATCTGAAATCCTTGTAACGTCAGGTTTCCAATGATACCAAAATCGTAATCTAACTCGTTCTGTATCGGCGTACACCTTCCTCCAAAGTTAGCTCTGTGAAACCCGATAACAGATTCTGGTCAGACATCTAGGGCAAACTTAAATCGTAGATAGCGGATTCATCTTACCTCAGAATCCAAATCGGAAAAGAGCTCCAGAATCTACGAAGAATTCTCTTTCCAACGGTATATAGATCGTCGCCTAACTCCTCACGGATCGCCGGAAATCGCCCCGAAAGTTCACTGGTCGAATATGAGACCAAAAATTCAGATTCAGAAAATTGAGATTTTTCCCGATATTCAAACACGAATTTCGAGCAGACCGTACCTCGTAATTGGAATCGGAAAGAAGCTGTAGAAACTAGAATCCGTGATCTTTCCAGAGATAAAAGAATCACNATCTAATTCCTTCTGAGCCGCCGGCAATCAGCCCCGAAAAACAGCTACTCGGAACTAGCTTAACTGAGAAGGCAAGTGGGAGAACAATAGGGTTTTTCTCTAGCTGCGCAANTCTGATCCTCCTCTCACTTGCGTGGCTTATTATAGAGATGAAGGGGACTCTAGGTTAGGGTTTCACTTAGCACTTGGGCCACACGTAACAGGCTTTTTAGGTTTTGGGGAATTTTATGGAATTGGGCCATGACAATACTGATAATGTCAACAGTCCCATACCCTGTGGATTATATATAACTAAACCAGTCAAATCACTTGAAGTCTACCGATGTAATTTTAATTCTTTATACACATAAATTTTCTTGTACTAAGCATTGGATGTTTGTTTCAATACTATTAGATTATATGAATAATTTTGGGGGAATTATTGCAACTGTTGTTTTTGTTGTAAACATCACATGAGGAATGGATTGCTGTATTTTTATCTATAAATTCATTGTAAAGTTCTCGTCTCACTATTTGATTATGTGCATAGATGCCCTTAATTCAATAAAATTTTATATATAAATATTTTCAGAATAAAGTGACATTTCAGAAGTGACATTTTACAAAAAAAATTCTTGAATTTTTTGAAAATAAAAATAGTTCAATCCAAAATTCGATTGAATAGTTCTACATCTCAAGTCTTAAAATATTAATCGTTGTTTAATAAACCCATTTAGATAAGACGTGTTTATTTATATAAACTTCCAACGTTGTTTATTTGCTTCTCAATTTTGATCGTCTTTGACACATGATGAAAAAGATTGCCAAATCAAATTATTTCATTAAATAATCATCCCAAATAAAAAATAACTAGCCTAGAAAACATGGTTCATCTATTTTCAAATGAAAAACCATAAATAGTTCCAATAACTACAGTTGAATATTTCAAAAACTAGATGTTATTTATCATGAATTATCATATACTTAGCTTTTTGACTATAAACATAGAGACACGTCGAATGTGAAAAGGAAGTTTTACTTTTTTAAAATAACTGCTCCTATTAATGAATCCTCACTCTTTTTTTAACATGCATCCACGTCTAATTTCATGGGAACAACTGAACAAGACTAATGGATTCACGTTTTTTTCTTCCATACTCCCCTAATTTAGTTCCACCTTTTACGTGTACTGATTACAACTATATACGAGCAAACCAAAGTATTTGATTTGTTTGGGGGGTATAACCAAAAGTTTAAAACTTTTTATCTAGTCACTAACTAAACTAACATAAGCTTAATCAATATCATTAGCTTTTTTAGTTAACTTTTGTTGAAACCATTATTAAAATTAAAACCGCAAAATTTTATCCACTATTCATTTAAAATAATGTGACAAAAAAGTCATTTAAAATAATTTTGAAAATCATCAAATTTGAGACGGAAAAAAAATGTTTTTTTTTATCTTTTGATCAAATTCTGTTAGTCAATTAGAAGGGTTTTTTT